CCCTACACTATAATAAGTATCAATGCAATGTGAGTTCAGAAAGAGCTATTTTTTAATTTTAAGTTCAAAATTTCCAGTTTGCACAAGATATTTTTAAGGACTACTGAAAAGTTTGGTGTTTATTAAGACAGAAAGAAAAAAAAAAAAAGTGTTTTCTGTATGCTTACAAGTAGCAACGGTCTTAAATGATCATTCTGGAAAGCTGATTTTCAACTGTGGCTTGAAACTACATTTATATCCACCAGAGAGGAAAGATATGGGGAGGCCAAGGAACATGTTTCTGCATGCTTTTCTTCTAGATGACCACAATTCTCCAGGTATCTTTGTCTCTAGAAAGAGATTTGAGGGTAATTGCATCATTTCCAGTGACTCTCTCTTCCCTCCTTCCTTCCCTCGCCCGCCATGTACATGCCCACAGTCATGCAAACATGACTTACACCATCAGCTCCCCACACACTACATCACTGTCAAAATATCTTGCTCACACTCCTGAGAGAAAGGCTGTTGCAAATGGCAACTCCAGACCCCAATGTTTAACTCCTCCTAATTACTCCCCAGATAAGTCTATCTGCCTCTATTTACCGAAAAAGAGACTTGAAAAAGACTTCGATTTCCATGTCAAAAGTCTGTTATGTTGAATGCTCCCCTCAGCCTCTGCATGTCTCTAAGTAAGGTCTCAGACGGGAAGCCATAAAAAGTGACTTTTTTCGTGGTTTATGGATGAGTTTTTCAATAAAACTTGTCAGAGCAGGAACATTTGCACAATAGCCGAGATGCACGAACTTTGGACAGAAAAAGCAGGAAGAGGAGAGTTCACAATCAAGATTAAAATAACATTAGGGACCCAGAAGCAATTGCTGAAAAGTCCAAGACAAGATGATAGAGTAAGCGGAAAACACCTGAAGTAGTAGAAGCGCTGGCAAAAAACAACTACTTTCTGCTGGGCAGGATGTGATTGAATAATAGTCCAAAACCAGGAAAAAGCATCATTATAGATACATTTGCTTTTAAAGTGTCTACACCAGTAAGACTAATTAGAGCATTTTCATGCTGCTGTAATAAGTGCTTAGACCAGGATTATATAGGATTTTCCTTTCATGGAATCACTACTTTCAGGTCACCTATCGATTAGCAGCTCTGCTGCTTAGCAAAGCCGTTTCTCTTCTGCTATCAGATGACTTCTTTGAAACCTCATTTATGAAGTCTGTGGCCATATGGTACATAATATCAAACTCTGAGAGCAGGCTGAGGAATAGAAATGACTCATCAGCCAAGCAGCGTATCGTGTACTTGTCTCCTGGATGAGGCTGCACTGTGATCTGCAGTGGGAGATCAGTAGAGGCCTGCTCTAGGCTGTTATAGGCTGTGTAGAAGCTGTGGGCTGTGTAAAAGAGGCTGAAAAATCTGTTTATTTTATACTTCAACTAGTAAGCTAATGTTGGTTTAGTTTTGGCAGCTCTGCTGCTCCTGACTGATGGGGTGCAGAACATTGAAGAGGTTGTCTATGTCATCTGCAGCATTTGAGTTGTATTCATATTAGAAACAAAATCTGAAGATATTTAATAAACTAAGTGTCATGGTTTAACCCCAGCCAGCGACTGAGCACCACACAGCTGCTTGCTCACTGCCCCCCCGGT